TTTTTTTTTTTTTTTTTTTTATTAGCGGTATCCCCGATTTGTTTCAGGACTTTGTTTTCTTTTTTGTTTTTGTTTGGTTCTATTTTAAGTTTATTAGACATGCTTGCTCTTTTGCATGTGGATTTTGTGCTCTTTCTTTTGCACTTTATTACTTTTTTCTTTTTATTCTTTACATTTATCTTATTTGCTATTACATATTTCTTTTTGTTTTATTGTTACATTTTACTTATTTACTTAATTACACACACTGATCTATTTCTATTTACATTCTTATTATCTATTTCATTACTTTCTTGCCTTTTACATTTCTTTACTTAAAACTAATATCACAATTTCTTATTTCTTTCTTATACTCTACATTTACTTTTACATATTTCACTACTATAAATTAATACATTTTACACTAATCATCTCTATTTCGTTCTATGACCTTTTCCACTATTTTCTTACCAAACTTAATTAACACTTCCCTATCTTTACTTTCTATCATAATTTCCCACAGGTTTTCCTTTCTAAGGGGTGTGTTCAATGCTACTTGTGCGTCGTGTCTGTCTTTGGCATAGAGGGGGCATTCCAGGAGGACATGGAAAATGTCCTCTTCAGTGTCGGGATCACAAACGCAGCTTGGGGTATCCTTCTTTTTAAACCTATGGAGGTAGGCGGAGAAACCTCCATGCCCGGTAAGGATCTGTGCAGCTATTCTATCAATCTTCATCTTTCTTACGACACCGAAGGCGCTCTCCCCGCTGGGGAAGAACGCCTTCGTTGTGGCAGCCGTGTCCTCGCTCCTATACCTGCTGTCCCATTCTACTTTCGTCATCGCGCGTACATGGCGCTTGACGAAAGAGATGGGACAGCAGTCATAGTGCGATTTGCATTTCAACCCGAGGGCCGCCCCCTTCGCCAGCTGATCCGCTCTCTCGTTTCCGATCACCCCGACGTGGGCCCTGATCCAAAACAGGGACACGGTTTGTCCGTTGTCCCTGAGTTGGGCCAGGTTGCCCTGAATCGCCTTGGTGATCGGATGCGAGGAGTCTGGATCAGCTAGCGATTGGAGGGAGGACCTCGAATCGCTGAGCACGGCCGCCTCCTTCCATCCTTTCCCTAATACACACTCCGTGGCTTGGAGGATAGCATACAGCTCGGCTTGGAAGACTGTACAGTATGGCTCCAGCTTAAACTTTCGGGAAAGGACTTCTGCCTGCCCTTTCCAACAGGTCAGGGCGGCTCCTACCTTTCCCTCCAGTTTGCTGCCATCTGTATAGATCTTCACAAGACCTTCTGCCAGTTTGCTATCCTCCTCCTCGTTTTCCAGACATTCGAAACCTATCATTCTGCTGCTACCGGGGTGGTTCGAATTCATGAAGGATACCCTTTTCTCCACCTTTCTCCCCCTTAATATTGCCTGGGGTTTCCCTCGCTTCGCCTCATAAAGCTGGGATGCTTCATGGACCCTTAGGTCCAGCGGAAGCAGCCCCGACAATATTAAGGCGGAGTTGAGCGACACCGTCCTATAACATTTGGTAATTTTTTGGGCGAACCCCCTCTGTACCACCGAGAATTTCTTTTTGGTCATTATTTTCTTAGCTTCTCCCTGCCAAACACTCGCTGCGTAGAGGATGATTGGTTCTATGACCGCTATGTAAATTGTTCGTATAATCTCTGGTTGGAGACCCCAAGTCGTCTTTGCGGCTCTTTGGATACCTTTAAAAATGTTGATGGCTTTGCCGCAGACGTACTTAATGTGCTCGTTAAAGGTTAGTTTGTTGTCGATTTTTAGGCCGAGGATTTTTATTTCGTTGACAAGTTCTATTTGTACCCCCCCCATGGTCAGTACCGGCGCGTCAAATTTTAATTTTTTGGTGATAACCATGGCTTTGGTCTTATGCGCCGCGAAGTTTAATTTGTTTGACGCGCCCCATCTCCTGACCAGGGAGAGTCCTGCATTGGCCTTTTCCTCTAACGACTTTGGGTCTCCTCCATCCACTATCAAAATGATGTCGTCAGCGAATGCTTGGCAATATATATCGGCGTCGGTGAGCCCGTTCAGGAGTGGATCCAGCAAGATGTTCCAGAATAAGGGGCCTCCTATGGACCCCTGTACACAACCTTTGTTGGTTATCTTGCTGTACTCCTCCCCCGCGTATCTCACCGACACCATCCTATCTTGGAGATAACTATCTACCAGTCTGCGTAGGTTTATAGGGCACTTTAAGTTTTTAAGTTGGCAGCGGATTCGCGGCCACCACGCGTTATCAAAGGCCCCCTCTATGTCCAGCGATATCAGGGCCACTATTCTCTTTTCTACCAATTTGCCTCTGATTCGCTGGATCATATCATAGAGGGAGTCCTCCGTGCTGCGCTGCGGCACAAATCCGTACTGCCTCGGGTTAAGTTTGGGCAGTATATGCCATTTTAAACGACGCACTAGCATTTTCTCAAGAATTTTACCTAAAACTGGCAGCAACCCGATTGGCCTGTACGATTTGGGCTCCTGGTAGTCATCCTTGCCGGGCTTCCTCAGCATGATGACCGTTGCTTTTTTCCATCTATGCGGGAAATGGGTGAGGGTAAGGCATTTATTAAAGATCGCGAGGGCTGTGTCGCTATCCGCTTTTATAGTCGCCGCGCATATGTCGGCCGTGAACCCATCTCCACCCGGAGCCTTTTTCGGGTTAAACGAGTCCACGGCGTGCACCAGCTCGGCTTCCACAAATGGGGGGTCATGAACGTCATGTTCATCTCCCTCATTTGTTTCCGCCGCGCTGATTCGCACAGCCTTGTGGATCTCATTTTCCCCTATTTCCGTGTCGTCCGGGTAGAAGGTCTCCGCCATAATGCGCACCGACTGTTTGGGGCTGGTGGTGATGCCCCCCCTCGCGATTGGCAGATCTTCGCCTTGCGCTCTTGTTCGACCTATTACCCTATATATCCCATCCCACACAGATTCCCTATCTTGTTTTCCGCAGAACTCCTTCCAGCTTTTTATTCTGGCGACATCCATTTCCCTTTCATACTTCTCTTTCGCTTCTGTGTACTGCTCTATTACCCATGTTTTTCGAGGTTAGGTTAGGTTAGGTTAGGTTAGGTTAGGTTAGGTTAGGTTAGGTTAGGTTAGGTTAGGTTAGGTTAGGTTAGGTTAGGTTAGGTTAGGTTAGGTTAGGTTAGGTTAGGTTAGGTTAGGTTAGGTTAGGTTAGGTTAGGTTAGGTTAGGTTAGGTTAGGTTAGGTTAGGTTTTTTTTTTTTTTTTTTTTTTTTTTTTTTTTTTTTTTTTTTTTTTTTTTTTTTTTTTTCCTATGTTATTCTCAAGTGTTTTGTGTTTTAAATAAATGTAAAAGAAAATTATTAAGCATGAGCTTATGTTGTGCGTCTCCCTCACCACCCGTGTGTCGGCTTCGAGATGCTCTAGCACGGGTTGGGTGAGGGTGGGGGGAAGAGGGGGTAGAGGACGGCATTTACAGAGAGAGAATAGTAAGATAGTATAGAAAGAGGACAGAGAAAAATAAAGAAGTGATATGTACATATAATTAAAACGAGTGGGATTCCTACTATGTAGGGGTGGGCAGAGGTAGGTGTCAGGCCCTATGGCCGTTGAATCGCGTGGAATCCTCGACATCTGGTCGGTCGCTCCACCGGTCGAGCCTGGTCGCGCCACAGGTGGAGCCACCGGCCAAGGCGGGCAGTGCTGCCTGCCAGGCGGCCCGATCAGTCGGGGTGTCCGGTTGATCGAGCCACCTGGCAGTGCGCCTTAGTAACTAACCTTATTCGCTAATGCGGTGTTAAACAATAGTACAGTGGTGTATTAATCTAACGTAACCAACCTAATTTCATAGTACGGATCTTTACAATAACAGAGAAGTGTTACATTTTATCAGAAAAGTTGAATTGTTTCTACAGGGGTAATATTAGTCTTACAATAATCGGTGATGAATAGTTAGTTACAGTTATTGGTATTTGAATTAATCGAAATTAGTACAATAGGCTTGTGCTTACAAAAAGAAAATATAAAGTGAGCCATAACGAGAGTGAGTCAATCCTTAACAATTAACTAGCAGGTGCTTAATCAAGGCATATTGCCATCCGGCGATTACCGTATTTTTGTTTTTTTTTTTTTTTTTTTTTTTTTTTTTTTTTTTTTTTTTTTTTTTTTTTTTTTTTTTTTTATATATATGTTTATTTTTTTTTTTTTTTTTTTTTTTTTTTTTTTTTTTTTTTTTTTTTTTTTTTTTTATAATGATAAAATTACTTGTATACTTGCTTCGAATATAAATTTAACTTAATTAAACTAATTAACTAGTTAGGGGTCGCCCTGCTGGTCGAGCCGCCGGTCGAGGTGTGTCGCACTCCAACCCGGCAGCTCAACCAGCCGGGCAGCCCAGCACACATATTAATCACAACAAAGCTTACCTAATGTTCATCGTATACATGTTCCGAATATAAATCTAACTTTGACTTAATTCAACTTATTAACTAAATTCGGGGTCGCCCTGCTGATCGAGCCGCAGGTCGAGGCGTAACGCACTCCAATCCGGCAGCTCGACCAGCAGAGCGGCCCAGCACAAATATTAATCACAACAAAGCTTACATGATGTTCATTATTGAGCTCTCAAAGAATGCCAATGTCTTACGTGGAATTCTCGACCGGTCGATCCGCCGAGTCGGTCGGTCGACCGGTCGAGGTATCTGGTCGGTCGCTAAACCGGTCGAGCTCGGTCGCGCAACCGGTCGAGCCACCGGCCAAGGTGGGCAGTGCTGTCTACCAGGCGGCCCGATCAGTCGGAGTGTCCGATTGATCGAGCCGCCCAGCAGTGCGCCTTAGTAAGTAACCTTATATCTTATATTAGTAATTATAATGTGAAATAATGACATGGATTATAGCACCAAGACAAAATGTTGTATGTACAGTATTATCTTAATTGACATCTTATTGCCTGGGCTTATACTAATACTGAAGTTACATAATATTATTATTGAGCTTTAGAACATGACTTAACTACTGATTACCTATATATACATTTTGGACAGGGATATGGATTCCTAAAACATAACAAAATAATGTATATGTAATAATTAACTTAAATTGCGTTGCATGAGTTCGATTGATCAGTTTTATATGCTAAAGAGATATATGAAGAGGCGAACGAAAAGGGGTATAATGGGAAGAAAGAGCTATTGGGGGGAGAGCGCGTTGAAATTTTTGATTTCCCGGTATATTTTATCTACGAAGGCTACTGTAGCCCTGACCGCCGCCCCGCTCTGGGTGATGGTTGCAAAGTCGTCGTGGTCAACCCGCGCTCCTCGGCAGGCGGTCATCCAGGTATACCTGTCCGCGCAGAATCGTGGGCAGTCGCGTAGGAGGTGCAAGGGGCACTGTCGGGAGACTAGATCGCAGGGGCAGACCTCGGTATCCGCCCGATGAAATCTGTATAGGTAAGCCCTGTGCGCCCCGTGTCCCGTGAGGAATTGGGTGAGGTGAAAGGTGGGGGAAGCAGCAGCCCAGAATCCCGTGATCAGGGGGAGAGCGGGGAACAGATATTTCGTGTGGCCTCCTTGGTCCGCGGCGCTGTATCTCCTCTGCCATTCCTCCAGCGCCAGCTCGCGAGCGCGCTTCTTAACGAACGAGATAGGGAAGGAACAGTAGTCAGGTGCCTTTTTTAACTTAGCCGCCGCCCCCGCCTCCGCGTCGGCCATTTCATTGCCGGGAATGCCGGCATGCCCTTTAACCCAGCACAGTCGGATGTTGCCCACGGTGGAGTGGTCAATGATGAGGTTGTGGATGGCAGTAACAAGTGGGTTAACACTACTTCGTTGTTGGAGGGCTTGAAGGGCCGACATGGAGTCGGAGCAAATGAGGGCGTCCCCATGCCCAGCATCCCTCGCGATCTGGCACGCCTTGAGGATGGCAAAGAGTTCTGCCTGGAAGACGGTGCAAACGTCATGGAGCTTGAAGCGTAGAGCACGGACAACCGGACGAGAGTTGAGGTCCGCAACGACGACCGCGGCACCCACTCTGCCGTCCTCTAATTTGCTCCCGTCGGTATATATTTGCACCGTTTCTCCCCTACATGCATAATTGATGTCATCTATAGTGACGGCTATCTCATGTCCGGGGCCGATCCGGGCAGCCGGGTGCCGCAGTGAGGAGATGGGGACAGGGGACTCCAGCCGGAGGTCGTCAGGGAGGTAGGAAGTGGAGCCTCGGAGGCGCGTGTTTTCGATTTCCGCAACCCTGAGGACCTCCAGGTCCAGAGGTGTGAACTGAGCGAGGGCCAAAGCGGCGTTCGTTGACACGGTTCTGTAGGCCCTGAGAGCGCGTATCGCAAAACCTCTCTGTAGGGACAAAAGTTTAGCCCGGTGAGTGACGCGTCGAGCCGCCTGTCCCCAGATACCGGCCGCATAGGTGATAGCCGGGACCAAGGCATACCTATAGATGTTCCTGACGTTCTCCGGATGCAGCCCCCATGTGGGGCGAACGAATAAGCATAGTCTCTGGAACAGCTTGAGGGCCCTAGCCGCAGTGTACTTGATGTGATCGCGAAAACATAGCTTATTGTCCAACACGACTCCTAAGATTTTGAAGTTTTTGCCGAAAGTAACAGGATGTCCCATCATGGATATACGGGCCCTTGCGGACTTTGGTGAAAAGGCGAGAGCCTGCGTCTTGTGTGGCCCGAATGTGAGCTTCACGTCCCTACCCCAGCCAGAGATGGTCTCCAAGGCCCGATCAGCCGCGATCTGCAGGGATGAGGTGTCTTTGGCGGTCGCGATAAGCAGGACATCGTCGGCGTACGCTTGGAGGCGGCATCCGGAGGGCATATTCATGCCCAGTAGCCCATCGAGCACCAGGTTCCACAGGGCCGGCCCGCACGCCGAGCCCTGCACGCATCCCCTGCTCATTCCCCTGACCGCTGTAGCGCCAGCGTAATTAAGGGCAACCTGTCTATCCTTAAAGTAATTGCTGACCAGGCGAAAGATGTTGTACGGGCAGTGGACGTTCCTCAGGCGATGCAGAATGTATGGCCACCAGGCGCGGTTAAAGGCGGATTGAATGTCGAGGGAAATGGCGATGCATAGTAGGCCAGACGACCTGCTGGTCTTGATAAAGTTGACGGCATCCTGCAGCGCATTGAGGGTGGACGTGCTACGCTTGAACCCATATTGCCGGGGAGACAGGTTGCCGGAGTCCGCGAGGTGGTGCACCAGACGATTGACGAACAGCTTCTCTAGAAGCTTTCCGAACACCGGGATCAGGCCTATGGGGCGGTGTGCTTTAATAGAATCGGAGCTGTCCAGTCCAGGTTTAGGGATGATCTTCACTACGGCGGACTTCCAGCTTCTAGGGAAGTGCCCGAGCTCAAGGCACCTGTTGAAGAGCGCCACGAACAGTTCGGGGAGGGTCCTGACCGCCGCCGAGCAAATATCCGACGTAAGTCCATCGAGGCCCGGTGCCTTTTTAGGGGACATCTCACCCAGGGCCTCCAGAATTTCCCCCAAAGAAAAGGGAGGGTCGTCGTTAGCACCCGGAATGTCGTTGCAGTTAGCACGGGTTTCCGCGTGAATAGGCAGGTCCTGTTCGGGGGGGTCGTCGGGGAAAAAGTGAGCTAGCAGGGTCTCCGCGGTGTCGCCAGCGTCCGCAGTGTGCCCATTCCCAGAAGAAGATGGTAGGGTGGCCGGAGCCCTTCTGGGGGTGCCGTTTGCCTTGAGGATCGGGTTGGTGATGGTCCATACAGTGTCCGGAGTCTGAGCCTCGCAAAAGGCCCTGAAGTTAGCTGTGGACTCCTTTCTTATTAGTTCGCTGTAGCCGGTCTTGGCTTCGCTGTAGGTGCGCGCTAGTTCCTTGACCCGATCACCCAGTGGGTCGTCGGCTCTGGCGATGCCCAGCTCTCGACGCAAGGTAGCGACTCTCCTCTTCTCTTCCTCCAGACGCGTGGACCAAAAGGCGGAGCGACCCTTAGGTAGTCCGCCACCTCTCATGTCGAAGTTCAGATTGGCCGCCCGGTTGATAGCCGCAGTGATGTCGAGGACAGCCCTGTCCAGGTCATATCCGCTGAGGTTGGGAATCATGGCAGGGTCGTATTCCATGTTTGGGACTTCAGCGAATAGGGAGTCCTTAAATCCCGCCCAATTGCAGGTCCTGTCTGTCTTATATCTAAAGGTTGATTGGGCAGGAGGCGGCGCAACCGCCGATGTGGCTTCGCAGCAGAAGCTGAACGTGATCGCGACGTGCTGGGAGGAGGCAACCGCGGACTCGTCCGTGGTCCAGTCGGACACGCAGGGGAAAACGTCGTCAGAAACAAAGGTGAGGTCGATGCTGCTAAAGCGCGGTATACCGTGCGTGACTGTTTCGAAGGTGGGGCGGCCCGAGTTACAGCATAGCAGCGCGCGGGAGTTCATGAGATCGTATATTTGCTCTCCCCTTTGATTCCCTCTTCCCGTGTCGTTCCACGCTGGATGCCAGCCGTTAAAGTCTCCCGCCACAATGCAGTTGGCATTGTCAGCGTAGTCGAGTATCTTGGTCAGGGCGTCCAGCGTGGAAGAACAGTCCCCACGAGGAGGTAGATAAACCGAGACAATTATTAGCTTACGTTGGCCATAGGAAATCCCGACCACCGCTAGGTCCTCAGTAGAGAACTGAGACATCAGTACCGCACGAGTTCTGACAGCGAGTTGTTTATTAAAGTAGATGGCAGCTCTAACAGGCCTGCTGCCCCCAGAAAGTTGGAAGACTTCGGCGGTAGGGATTCCCTTGGCCACGGAACAATTTCCTAAATAGGGCTCAGCAACAATGGCCACCCCAAGGCCTAGACTATCAAAGGTCGCACAGAGTTCGTTGAAACAACAGTAGGATCGGTCGAGGTTAATTTGGATAAGTCTGAGGGTGAGGCGGCCATTATTGTGAGCCATACTCTACCTTACCTAAAATTCGTTCGGTCATGGCTCGCACTCTTGGGCATTCTTGTGACAGGGCTTGATGTTTCGTGTCCCTCTGTGTTTTAAACCTCGCGTTGAAGCTGACGCAATTCCCGCAGGTAGGAGGCGCGGCCGCGGTGGGGCAGGCTTGCGCAGTGTGGTCCCCTCTTGAGCAATGCGAGCACAACTCCGGACGCTCACACCTCGTCTGCGTGTGGCCGAATTGCTGGCATCTCCTGCACTGTAGAAATGGGGAGAAGTTTTCAACGTGCACGCGCTGGAATTCCACGCGCACCCTTCCCATCCGCGTCAGCACCGTCCATGCGCGGGGGGAGGTGGTAAGGACTGCATTGTACAGCGCCGTGTTCCGGTTGTTTCGAATGAACTTAATGCTGATTTCCTCTGCTCCGCATCCTCCGAGCTCCGGATTCTGTCTAATAATGTGCTCCATTAGCTCTTCCTTCTTAACCTCTTTGGAGATACCCTTGAGTATCACCATCGCGGAGATTCTCTTCTCGGGCTCGGCTCTCGCTCCCAAGGAGGGGGATGCCTGCTTGAAGCGGCGAAGCGCGTCCTCCCTGTGTTCCGGTTTGTCGAACTCGACCTTTGTCTTTCCCTTGGACAGCTGGGTAAGTCTGGCCACCGTATATCCGGTTTCATTGCAGTTGATGACCTTTCTTAACACCTTGGTGGCAGCTTCTCGGGGGGTGGTGTTGTTAGTAGCATCACAGGTAAGGATAAGGGCCGGACGAGCCGTCTTGATGGTGTTAACGGGGGTAGGGGCCGCAGGTGGTATGCCCTTTCCACTCGTGGACGCCATGTGCGCGTACGTCGTCCGGGTAGGGGCCCCGCCGGAGGAGAGTTTGTCCTTAATCTCCCTTATGTCCTTTTTTATCAGAGCCAACTCGGCCATGGCCAGGGAGTCAGCGTTTCCAGCCTGGTGAGAGGGCGGTGAAGTCGGTGGAGGTGGTGATAATGGAGCGGACCGCGAAGACGCCTCCTTAGTGAGCCCCGCGCAGAGCGAGATGATGCTCTGGCAGTGGCTTAAGGCCTCCATCTTCTGGGATTTTGTAACACTGGTGGATCCCGATTTCTTGTGGTCCAATTGGCCAATAATTTTCTTCACATGATCCACAATACCGGCTGCGTATTCCTGAAACTGGTTTTCGTAGCCAGCAGGCACGGGGGGAGGCTGGGACTGAGTGAGTTCTGTAAGTATGCTCACGCTAGGTGACTGTTCAAGCTCCATTCTTTGGTCCCCCTCAGGGGCCACAGCAACCGCGGTCTCCAGCGTCGCACGGTCCGCATCAGATGACACTGCGGCACCCTCGTCATCCACTGATCTCCTCCTAGTGGGGGACCTCAGCGTTGGCATGCTGAGGGGCCCTAGCACAATAGTCACTGTTCACACACCCGGAACAAGCACAATTGTCACTGTTAACCAACACACGCACAGTTAACGGTTTTTAAGCTCGACCGGTCGAGCATCCACATCGGTCAAGTCGCGGGTTTCGTCGGGTAAGGTCGCGCTCCGGTCGCGTCGCGATGCCGGTCGAGCAACCGGGTGGTCGCGCTACAGGGGTGGTCGCACCCCCGGGCGGTTGCACCACCGGGGTGGCCGCGCTACCAGGCTGGTCGCGCCACCGGTCGATGTAGGTCGCACTACCGGCTGGTCGCACTACCGGCCAAACGATTGACCGGTCGAGCAAGCCAACCGCTGGAGCTGAGTGCACGCGTGCGCTCTCCTCAGCCTCCAGACGGCGACTGATGGTTAGGTTAGGTTAGGTTAGGTTAGGTTAGGTTAGGTTAGGTTAGGTTAGGTTAGGTTAGGTTAGGTTAGGTTAGGTTAGGTTAGGTTAGGTTAGGTTAGGTTAGGTTAGGTTAGGTTAGGTTAGGTTAGGTTAGGTTGGGCTCGGAGCTGTGGCGCACGCAGGTGCGTCGGCCCCGAGACGCCCCCACATGGGCGTAGGAGGGTACCGGGGGGTTTTAGTGGAGTAGGATCAGTGTGGTCTTCCGCACTGGTCCTGCTTGAGTAGGGTCGGCACTGTTTCCCGTGCCGGCGAGTCCCACACACGCCGTGCGCCTAGTCAGCGTCACGGTATGGTGCGTAACTGCATTTCCCCTCGTCACAAAAAAAAAAAAAAAAAAAAAAAAAAGGTTAGGTTAGGTTAGGTTAGGTTAGGTTAGGTTAGGTTAGGTTAGGTTAGGTTAGGTTAGGTTAGGTTAGGTTAGGTTAGGTTAGGTTAGGTTAGGTTAGGTTAGGTTAGGTTAGGTTAGGTTAGGTTAGGTTAGGTTAGGTTAGGTTAGGTTAGGTTAGGTTAGGTTAGGTTAGGTTAGGTTAGGTTAGGTTAGGTTAGGTTAGGTTAGGTTAGGTTAGGTTAGGTTAGGTTAGGTTAGGTTAGGTTAGGTTAGGTTAGGTTAGGTTAGGTTAGGTTAGGTTAGGTTAGGTTAGGTTAGGTTAGGTTAGGTTAGGTTAGGTTAGGTTAGGTTAGGTTAGGTTAGGTTAGGTTAGGTTAGGTTAGGTTAGGTTAGGTTAGGTTAGGTTAGGTTAGGTTAGGTTAGGTTAGGTTAGGTTAGGTTAGGTTAGGTTAGGTTCTGCGTATTAAAAAAAAAAAAAAAAGGTTAGGTTAGGTTAGGTTAGGTTAGGTTAGGTTAGGTTAGGTTAGGTTAGGTTAGGTTAGGTTAGGTTAGGTTAGGTTAGGTTAGGTTAGGTTAGGTTAGGTTAGGTTAGGTTAGGTTAGGTTAGGTTGGGGTGCTACGTCGGCAACCTCCTCGTGTGCCCGGTCCATTTTCTGTCCCTGGTCAGTTATGATAGGGGAACGGAAATGGGTTCGGGACGGTGCATCCCGGGCATCTGCGTAATGTCTCCCATTGAGGGTGCTGTTACGGAGGTGTCGAATAGTCGACAATCTCGTAACCTCGTACGTAGTGCGGGGCCGAGGGCCGCCGTCTGCAAAGGAACTGTTCCTTTGGAGGCGGGGGCTGCGAGGAAGACAACCTCTCTAAAAAATTACCCGTGGTGGTCTCGACTGGCGCCCTGGGTATCCCGGGTAGCGGCAGTCGAGTCAAGCTCGTAACCCTGCACATGGTGCGGGGCCGAGGGCCGCCGCCTGCAAAGGAACTATTTCCTTTGGAGGCGGGGGCTGCGAGGAAGACAACCTCTCTAAAAAATTACCCGTGGTGGTCTCGACTGGCGCCCTGGGTATCCCGGGTAGCGGCAGTCGAGTCAAGCTCGTAACCCTACACATGGTGCGGGGCCGAGGGCCGCCGTCTGCAAAGGAACTATTTCCTTTGGAGGCGGGGGCTGCGAGGAAGACAACCTCTCTAAAAAATCACCCTGGGTGGGGGGCATAGAGTGGCCCCGGTGTCGGAGGGCAGTGCGCTGCCTGGAGGAGCTCGTAACCCCGTACGCAGTGCGGGGCCGAGGGCCGCCGCCCTCTTCGGAGGGCGGGGACCGCGAGGAAGAAAACCTCTGTAAAAAATTACCTTGGTGAGTCTCGGCCGGCGTCCCGGGGATCCTGGGTAGCGGTGGTCGAGACTACTGGAGGGGCGGTAACGCCTGTTCTGGTAAGGGCGGTTGTGGCGCGAACTCCGCGCCACCTCCGGCCGACCCGTAACCCCGCACGCGGTGCGGGAACGGGGACTGCCACCTTTCGGGGTGGGAGTCAAAAGGAGAAAACCTTTTCAAAAATCATTTTGATGAGGCCAGGTAGGGTTCCCTCGCCCGGAAGGGGGAAAAATTAATGAAAATGTCGTTTAATGTGAAATGTATGTCATGCTCTCCCGCTGACACCGGGCGCTCTGAGGTAGCTGGGCCTCAGAGTGGGAAATTGGTTACTAGCGGCCTATGCGCTCCGGCTGGCCACCGGCGCTGCGGGATTACCGGGTCCCGCAGTGGTAAATTTGTTACCGAGGCGTGCAAGGGAGAAGTTGATGAAGGCGTCCTTCGCCTTAGAGGCGGAGGTGATGAAGAAGGTGGTCTGGGCCTCAGACCGTTGCCACCTAAAATGAGTAAGCGACGGAAGGGGAAGGCTGAGAGCCAAACCCCCTCGGTTCCCTCTGCGGGGTCGCTATCGGGGGAATCTGCCCGAACGGGGTCTCTCGCCCAGGGCGCCACGTTAAGGCAGATCAAGGGGAAAATCGATAGGCGCCTGCTATTCATATCGAGAGTAGCTGCGGATGGGGACATTGAGCAGAAGGAGCTCGAGGAACTCGAGGAGAAAATGGACGAGGTACGGGACATGGTGGAGAGGGTCATGGTAGTGGCTGATGAGGCGGAGCGTCTAAAAGATGTAGAAGACGAGAACGCCCGACTCCGGGAGGAGAATGCGAACCTAAGGGCAGACATAAAGGACATGAGAAAGGACATTGATTCCCTAAGGAGGACGGTGGAGAAAGGCGGGCAACAATCGGCCACCCAACTGCTGACATCAGAGGCCGTCGAGGAGCTGAAGCGCTCCCTTATGCTAAGCATAGGGGAGATGGTCAGCACTCGGCTGGCTTCTCTGGAGGAAAGGCTGCCACCGCCGAAGGTCCTCAGGCCGCCGCTGGCGGCGGATCGCAAGGTGGGGAACGCGTCGGAGACGAAAGCGACGGAGCCATGGAGTGTGGTGGTCGCAAAGGGGAAGAAGGGCAAGGGCACGAGTGTGATGCCTGCAGCCAACCCTGAGCGGAAGGAGGGGACCGTCGCGCAGAGTAAGCGCGTCCCGGCCAAGAAGAAAGGTGGGCCACAGATCAAGGTGCCGAGCACTGCCGCAGTGGAACTGAGGGTGAAGCCCAGGGCGGTGGAGCTGGGCTTCAACTTCACGAACATCGTGGAGATGGCACGGACGGCTATTGAGTTGCCGTCCGTGGGCATCGACGACGGATTGACAATAAAGACGAGCCAGACGGGATCAAGGCTCCTACTCATATCGGGGCCTGATAATAGGAAGAAGGCGGATGCTCTCGCCAAGCGAATGGAGGAGGCGGTTGGCGAGTACGCGGAGATCGGCAGACCAGAAAAGTGCGCCGACTTAAAGATAACCGGGCTCGATGAGTCGGTGACGCTGGACGAACTAAAGAAGACGATAGCCAGGGAGGGAGGTTGCTCGGCGCACGAAATCTCTACGGGGGGAGCTCACCCAGGACCGGGAGGAATGAGGGGGGTGCTCATCCGGTGCCCCACATGGGCCGCGCAGAAGGTAGCAGAGGGGGGAAGAATAAAGGTGGGATGGAGTCTCGCCAGGGTGACGGTCCTGAGCCGGCGCGCGCACTGCTTCAAGTGCATGGAGAGGGGGCACGCGGCAGCGCGTTGCCCGGCCAAAGAGGACCGAAGCACCCTGTGCTTCCGGTGCGGGGCAGCGGGGCACAAGGCGGCGACGTGCACTGCCCCCACTAGATGTGTGGTGTGTGCGGCGAATGGTCGGCCGGCAGACCATACAATGGGGAGTGGGAGGTGTGACCCGCCGGTAACAAAGGGGAAGCCCCCCGAAAGAATTACCTCTGAGGCGTCGGCGCCCGTACGGGTGCCCTCAGAGGGGGGGATGTCCGAGTAGCCTCGGCCGCTCGGACCCCCCGTGGATGGTGTCGCCCGCGCTTCCCCCGTCTTCTCCTAGGAGAAGATCCGGGGAGACTTAGGCGACCGGGAGGGGGGAGAGGGACGGGAAGAACTACGCTTCCCCTCCCGGTCCTCCCTTCCAGGAACGGCGGCCCTCCTCGTGTAGTTCTGTCTACAAGGGGAGGGTGGCGGAGGGCTTGAGCTTTCCGCAGCGGACGGGGGGCGGTATGGTGGGCAGTAGGCCGCGTACCCAGCCCCCACGCGCGGGCCTACCTGCGCACGTCTGCGGGGTCCCCCGAAATACCGCGGGAGACCCCTGCCGTGGAGCCCCGGCGAGGCCGGGAAACTGCTGGGTGCGGGGACGCGGAGATAGCCCCATTAGCGGGGATCCCGCGGCACCGCATCAGGCAGTAGTGAAGGTATTCGCAGGACTTTTTTAGCGGATATTATACCGTAAAGCGCCCGTAAGAGTTGCGGGGTCCCAGGTGGGCATCCACTATGGGGGCTCGTAAGACTTGCGGGAGCCAGGTGTGAGGTCCGTTCGGCGGTGTGCCCCTTAGAGGCGCCGTCGTCTGTAAAAAGATTTTTTACCTGCGTAATAAAAAAAAAAAAAAAAAAAGGTTAGGTTAGGTTAGGTTAGGTTAGGTTAGGTTAGGTTAGGTTAGGTTAGGTTAGGTTAGGTTAGGTTAGGTTAGGTTAGGTTAGGTTAGGTTAGGTTAGGTTAGGTTAGGTTAGGTTAGGTTAGGTTAGGTTAGGTTAGGTTAGGTTAGGTTAGGTTAGGTTAGGTTAGGTTAGGTTAGGTTAGGTTAGGTTAGGTTAGGTTAGGTTAGGTTAGG